AGGAGATTCATCCCACCCGTTTTGGCACCTGGCTCCAGATGGTGCGAGTGGCATCCTGGAGCAGCTGGCAGTGGCTGGTCCGTGGCACGCCTGGTCCCCGGGCTTGCCCAGGCTACACACAAGCACCGTCACCCTGCTCTACCACCCACCGCCTCCAGGGTTTTCAGGCTTGGGAGGATGGCAGAGACTGCTTCTGCCCAGGCAGAGCTGATAGCCCCAGGACACTCATCTGAACATCTGAAAAGTAGGTTTCGGTCTCTTGTTCCAGGTGAAAGCTCTCGAGAGCCACAAGGTGGCTGTTTTATGCTCCTCTTCCAGCTATGTTTTAAAAGATTGATTGCCTTCCTAAGGACACGTTGCTTACAATCACTTATTAACAAATGTTTTACTTCCTGCTTCTGTTGCTGCCAGAGGGCTTTTTCAAGTGCTGAAGGAAGAAGGCAGATCTGGACAATATGCTGTGATGTCTTCTGGTGCTGCTAAAACAAAATGCACGCATCCTAAGTTAGACTGAGACCTGCTCCTTTCTGCTTGAAGGGACTCCAGCTTTGGGCGCCTAACAGTTATTGGCAGGGCTCAGAAAGCTTGCTTTCTTTAGTCTTCTGACCCCAGAGAAAGTGGATCAGTGATGGCTGGCTGATTTGTTTGCAGGATGAACTTCTTCAGATCCAAATGGACAACTACAAGCTGAAGTCTGTTGAGGATGCAATTCTCAAGCTCCAGAACAAATACCTAGGGCATCATGGTAAAGCTCATACAAGTTTGTGCTGGGCTCATACAGGCTTGTGCCGGGCTCGTATGGGCCCGTGCTGGGCTCTTGGGGCTCGTATTGGGCTCTACAGCCTTGTACGGGCTTGTGCCCAGCTCTGTGGGCTTATATGACCTTGTACTGGTCTCTACCTGCTCATGCTGGGCTCATAAGGGCCTGTGCCAGGCTCTACCGAATCGAATGGGCTCATATGGGCTTGTGCTGGGCTCGTATGGGCTGGTGCCAGGATCTACTGGTTCATGCCAGGCTCTGCATGCTCGTGCTGGGCTCGTGCCAGGTTCATACGAGCTATTGCTGGGCTCGTACGGGCTCATGCCGGGCTCTACTGGCTCGTACAAGTCTGTTTTGGGTGTTCAGGGCTCATGTTGGGCTCTGCAGCCTCGTATGGGCTCGTGCCCAGCTCTGTGGGCTTGTATGGCCTCGTGCTGGGCTCTGAGTGCTCATGCCGGGCTCATACGAGCTCTTGCTGCGCTCATAAAGGCCTGTGCCGGGCTCTACTGGCTCATATGGGTCTGTGCAGGGCTCTCGGGGCTTGTATGGGCTTGTGCCGGGCTCTCAGAGGTGGTGCTGGGCTCTGCAGGCTCGTGCAGGTCCGTTTCGTGTTCTGGGGGCTCTGTGGGTTCGTTCCGTGCATTTTCTTTGTTTTGGCTGTCCCCAAGCCCCTCGGTGTGCCCTCTGGGGTGCCGCAAGCCCCTCGTGGTGGTTTTTGGCCCGACGCAGCCCCCTTGGTCCCTCTGGTGTGGTTCCTCCGAGTCATTTTGTGTGGCTTTTGGGGTGCCTGCGACCCCCTTGGTGTGACTTTGGGGGTGCCCCGCTTTCCTCGGGGTGCTTTTGGGTGCTTGATGTGTCTTCTGCTGTGAGGTGGGGCCCTTGGGGTGCCTTTTGGGGTGCCCAGATCCTTTTGGGTCTTTGGGTTTTTGGGCCCTTCAGGTGCCCTGTGGTGCTGCCTGGACCCCTCGTTGTGCCCATTAGTGCTCCCAGCGTGTTTGATGTGCCTCTCGGTGCTGCCCTGGCATCTTGGGGGGCCTTTGGGGGGGTGTCCTAGACCCCCCGATGGGCCTTTTGGGGTGCTTTGAACATCTCAGGGTGCCTTTTGGTGGCCCCTTAGTGTGATTTTTGGGGCACCCCAGAGCTCTGGATGTGGCTATTGGGGCTCCCTCAACCCATGTTTATGTGCTTTTTGCTATCTTCTGGGTTGAACGTTGTGCCTTTTGGGGTGCCCCTGGCCTCACGTTGGGCCTTTCAGTGAGCCCTGGCACTCTTAGCGGTTTTCTCACGCTGCTCTGAGCTCCTTGATGTGCGTTTCTGTGCACCCTGAGCCCTCAGCGTGCCTTTTGGGGAGCCTGGGACCCTTTGGTGTGGATTTTGGGGCTCCCCTGAGCCCTCAGTGTGCCTTTTGGGGCACCCCAGACCCATTTCATGTGTGTCCCAGGTCTGTCAGCGTGGCTTTTGGTGCTCCCTGGACCCACCCCCTTGTGTGTTTCAGGGTGCCCTGGACCCCTCGGTGTGACATTTGATGTTCCCCAGTGTTTGACATGTCTTTCGGCACTTTCCTGGCCTCTCACCATGTGGCTCAGTGCGCTTCAGACCCCACAGTGGTTTTTTTTGGGGTGCCCCAGCCCCTCAGTGTGCCATCCAGGGCACCCAATACCCCTTGGTGTGCTTTTTGGGGGCATCCAGACCCCTTGGTGTGCTTTTCAGTGCATCCCGGTCCTGTTGGTGTGCCTTTTGGTGCTCCCCAGAGCTCTTGATATGGCTTTTGAGGGACCCCCCCCGGACCCATTTCATGTGCTTTTAGGTACATCCTGGGCCTGTTGATGTGTGTTTTGGAGTCCCCTGGGCCCCGTGATGTGCCCTTGGGGGTGTCCTGGACCCCTCAGAGTACTTTTCCTTCCACCCCAGAGTGCTTAGGGTGCCTTGTCGGGGTGCTGTGCCCCCCTCCCCCGTGCCTTTCAGGGTGCCCCAGCCCCCTTGGGTTGCCTTTCAGGGTGGCCTTGGACCCTCAGCATGGCTTTTGGGGCACCTTGCACCCGTCGAGGTGCCTTTTGGGCATGCCAGAGCACTTGGTGTGCTTTTCAGGGTGCTCCAGCCACCTCGGTGTGCTTTTCCTGGAGCCCTGCTGCAGCTGTTTGAGAGCCCTATGCGCTTCGGTTTGCCTTTTGAAGCATCTTAGATGTTTCTGCTTGCCTTTTGGGATGTCCTGGAGCCCTTGGGTTTGCTTTTTGGAGCCCCCAGGGCCTTGGGTTTTTGTGTTTGCTTGTTTTTGTGTGTTTGTTTTTTTTTCCATTTCAGAACACCTCGGAGCCCTCCATTTGGTTCCCTGGCATGCCACTTGCTTCTCCATTTGCCCCAAGCTCCTTGCTTTGCCTTCTGGAGTGCCCTTGATCCCTTGAATTGTCTTTTTGGGCACCCTAGCGTCCCCCTCGCCCCAGCAGTGCACCCTGCTGGCTTTACCCCAGCCAGGCGGGGAGGGGCTTGTGCAGCACCTGCAGGCAGGCAGGACGCAGAGGAGCGATCCCCTTGCCCTGCCCAGCACCAGGAGGAGAAGGAGGGAGCCCCGGTCCTGTCCCCACGGTGCCCTCTCCGGCCAGGCAGCTCAGCATCTGGGCAGAGGATGGGGCCGTGAAGGTATGTATGGGTCATTTCCCTTGCAGTCCATCCGGCCCTGCGGAAGTGCCAGCGGAGTCAACGAGATGGCCGGGCCCAGCCCCGGCCCCCCCCCAGGACCTGATTCCGGAGCCCAAGGGGGAGAGCAGCCTCCTCTCCAGGGAGTGCTGCGTTGCCTGCCCTGCCGGGCCTCGAGGAGGTGGGGAAAGCAGCCGTGGCCACTGCAGGGCCATTTAGGTCCCTGAGGCCATGACACTTTTGTAGCTGGACGTCGGTGTTCCTCGTGACGGCAAAGGTTTGGTCGTAAACTCGGCTCCGGACACGTGGCCCAGCAGCGAGGGCCCCCCGGGCACAGCAAAGCCGCAGCCCTTTTTTTCCCCTACCCAGCTTACTCAGGTCTGAGGGGCTCTGGTGGGGCCAGGCCAGCCCCTGCCCCCCAGGGGAGCTGGTCAGGTTGAGACCAGCCCCCGATGCCCACCACTGCCCTTAAAGGCAAGGTTTAGAGGCTTTCACAGGCTTAAACTCTCTGGGCATGCTTAAGGTTAACTTTGAGTTACTTAATTTCTTCCTAAGTAACTCAAAGTTAGGCTGAGTTCCTTAGGTCATTCTTAAAGAACCTTACTTAAAGAGTCTTAAAGTCTCTAAACCTTGCCTTTCAGGCAGTGGTGGGTGTCGGGGGCAGGCCTCAACACGATTGGTTCCCTTGGGGGCTGTGGCCCAATCAGGGCTCATGAGGCCTCTCTGCTCGCTAGCCTAAGTGAGTTGCAGAAGCCTTGCAGAATTTCTGTCCCCACACAACTCACTTAGGATAGGGAGCAGAGAGGCCTCACGAGCCCTGATTGGCTCCCCTGGGGGGTGTGGCCCAATCATGTTGAGGCCTGCCCCCGATGCCCACCACTGCCCTTAAAGGCAAAGCTCAGAGATTTTAAGTAGCTTTAAGACTCTTAAAGTAACTCTTAAAATTCTTCAACTCTTTAAGAGTTACTCTTAAAGTCTCTGGGTGCTCTTAAAGTTACTCTAAGAATCACCTAAGCAACTCAGCCTACCTTTAAGAACTTCTTAAAGGTAGGCTGAGTTCCTTAGGTGGTTCTTAATTTCTTCCTAAGTAACTCAAAGTTACCTTAAGCATGCCCAGAGACTTTAAGACTCCAAAAGCCTCTAAACCTTGCCTTTAAGGGCAGCAGCCGCAGGCCTCGGCCCAGACCCCTACGCTCCACAGCCTTGGGGCTTTTGTGGGGGCACAAAAAAGCCCTACATAGTGTCTGCCCCCAGGCAAAGCACTGAGGCCAAGGAGTGCTCGCTGCTTCCTTGTCTTCCTGGCCTTCCCCCCTGCCTCCTGCGCTGAAGTGGGTAGGGCAGGGCTGGAGCTGGGCTGGCAGGGCCTGTGCGAAAATAAAGTGCCAATCTGTGTGGGAGGAGAAACAGACCCTTTGGACACGAGCTCTCACCTACTGCAGCGAGATGGCCATGGCTGCCAGCTGCCCCCTCTTAGCTCCAGTGCTGCAGCAGTGAGCTCTTCCCCGAGGAGGGAGGGAGGGGGAATGCATCCTTCTGCAAGCTGTTAGCAGGGATTAAAGGAGACCACACACAGAATAAAACATATGTCACCTTGTCTCAGCTGTGGCTTGCTCCAATTTTTATTTCCAAGAGCCAAAACACCTTAGTGCAGAGCTACCGTGCCGAAGTCCTGCTTTGCTCTTCCTGGGGAGCAGAATGGGCTGGCAAACGCAGGCTGCGGCTTCTGCAGCAGCTCCTTGAGTGGGGGGTAAATGAAGGCAAAATCCAGTTCTCGCTCCTTCAGGGGAGGGGGGGGGTCTGGAAAAGGTCACTTCCTCATTGCAGCTGGAGTCTGAAATGGTGGCCCCAAAGAGCTGGTGGAGGGTGGGCAAGAGGTGAAATGCCAGTTCTTCCCAGCAACGAGCACGTAGGGAAAAAAAAAAAAAAACATATATATTAATGAAGAGCAGGACCAGGCATTCTCCCTTTCTCAACACTAGGGCCCAATCCCGCATTTCCCCTCTACCTCGTGGAGCAGGCGTGCTGTTCTGTGCACTGGGACTGTGCCCCCAGCCCCAGCAGGGCCCAGGGAGCCCCTTCCCCACACTGGCAGCATTGCTAGGGTTGCACTCACGGCTAACCCAGGGCAGCACAAGTCATGCCCGGATGGCCAGGCCTGGTGCTTCAGCCCGGCCAGCCAAAAGCACTCCCAGTCCTGCCAAAAAGCGCAGGGCGTTGGTGGCAAAACTCTCCCCATCTTGCGGGGGTTGCAGGGTCCCCCAAGCCCCCTCGGCGTTTAGCTTCAGGCACTCACCTGACAGCTCCTCCTACGCAGGGAATCCTCCCTTGCTCCCCATATCTGCAGTGCTGTGCTCCTCCCTGGGGCCTTCTGGCGCTTCAGTGCATCAACAGAGCATTGCTCCTAAAAAAAAATAAAACAAAAAAAACCCACAAAACACCAACCAAAACAAACACATAAAACACCATAAAAACAACAAAAAGGTTTTCACGAATAAACGCGAGCAAAACTGGGACAAGACCATCATGGCTCTCCCCAGTGCCCCACTTCCCAGCTCTGACTCCCGCCCTGCAAACTCCAACCTAACAAATGCTGGCCTGGACCTGGCTCTCTGCCGTGGAGGAGCCAGGAATCATAGCAGCTCCCCAAAATGACTTGCCTGGCAGCAGCAGAGGGCTCCGGGGCACCCCGAAAGACAAACTGTGGGCTCCGGGGGAGCGTTTCTCCATCTCCCAACCCTAACCCTAGACCTTGGTCATGCACTGAGTCACAGCCCAGATCTCCCTTCCAAAGCACAGAGGTGAAAGGGTTCAAAGGAGACATCTTTTTTGGCAGCACGCATCCCTTCCTTTGGCAGCTCTGCTCCAACAGGTGCCCCAGCACTGCGCCGCAGGCACGGCCACCGGCTCTGGCGTGCTGGACCTCCAAAGTAGGAGGCCATCAGGCAGCAATCTGCTTTTGCTGAAGGGACTGCATTCCCAGGGCACAGCTCCGCTGGGAAAAGGTGATTCAAGGGGCAGCTTCTGCCATCAACCCTTCCCTGCTCATAGCTGCAGGGAAACTAAAGCGCTAGGAATAACCTACCTAACTTCAGCTGCTGCCAACCAATGAAGGGAACAAGAGGAAGAGCTGAGGTGGAGGTTTGGGGGAGCCTCCTGCTCCTTGGCCAGTGCCCCCCACACACTTGTGGCTGTGGGCACAGAGCTGCAGGGAACCTGGCCTGGTGGAGGGAGGCAGTCCTTGCACAGGCATTTGGCGGGGAGGGGCAGCTTCCAGCGCTGGCCTTTGGATAAGAAGCAGAACGGCTTCGTTTCTTGCCCAGTTTGTTCTTTGCTTACCAGGTTCCCTGGCCTCTAATGCTAGGGTCTGCAGGGAAAGTAAGATTCAGTCGGCTGTTCCTACTGCTGCTGAGTGTCCTCCCTGGGACATGTTGTGAGGGACGAGGAGATGATGGGCAGAAGGGAGGGCTCCAAGGGTTGCGGCAGAGAGGGCCGGAGCCAGGGGAGATGCCTGGAGCCGCCTTCAAGCCCCAGCAACATGACACTGATGTCTGCAGCCTGACAGGGAGGGGAGAGAGCTTAGTTAGAGCAGGACCAAGTCTCCCTCCTCTTCCTCCTCCTGCCACTGGGCCCTCAAGAGCAGCGCTGGCTCTGCACCAGGCTTTTACTGTGGACCAAAAGTCCTTTCACTATATCTTTACGCTGGATCATTAAGTACACTAACACCGCATTACACATTTCCTCACTGAGGAGCAAAACCCTTCACAACAGAGCAGCCCAACACACAGTCTCCGGGATGAATTTGCTCCTTCTCTACTTGCTCGCAGCCAGCCTGACCAGGGATTCCTCCCTTGCTGATTCACACCAACTCAATGGCTAATGGCTTCAAATGACCGCTCCCCATCCGTCCCCACTCTCCCCGCCCTTTCTCAGCTCTGCCACACTCTTTGTGCAAGGCCTCAGGTCCTTCCTCCCACCTCTCTGTTTTGGCTCCTCTCCCATGAGGTGACAACCAGTAACAACTCTTTCGGCCGTGAGCTTCTGCTTGCAAACTCTCCCAAATGGAAAACTCCTATTTGCTGGGACCACAGGAGGGGAAATCGCCTTCCTGCTGGACCCGGCCTCCTTCGTTTCCCCCTCTCCTTGCAGAAGGGATACCTTGAATCTCTTTGCCGTTGTCTCCTGCCACCCCACTGCCGGGCGTTTTCAGAAACGGCAGTCAAGCTCCTCAGGCGTCAGCGCCTCCTACAGAAACAAAGAGCACAAGGCAGGACTCAGCACCCCTCTGTCACCTGTACGTTTGCTGTCGCCTCCTCTTATTCCTGTCACCCCAACGGTCACCATGACCCCAACAGTCATTGTCACTTCTCCTCTTCCTCCTTCCCCCCCCCAGCTCTCCTGGGTATCCCCTGCCACACAGCTCTTACCACGGTCATGGTTCGCAGGCATCGGCCCCCTGCCCCACTACAGCTGGGCAAAGCGCATCCAACATGGGCCTTTCGCAGGGCCCTGACAAGTCCACATCTCCAAAGAGGATGCAAGTCCATCCAGAGCCTATTAAGCTTTGGCAACACCCCGAGCCTGTTGCCATGCAGTTGCTTTTCCACAAACGGTGAGAAATATTATCACTGATTTGCTTGATGGCCTCCTGGGAAGGCGACACAGCTAAGCGTCAAGCTGGAGAGGTGTGTGCACACACACAGGGATGTAGCAGAGGGATGCACCGAGAGATGGGCTGGTGCCCTCGGTCCTCTCGCACCATGACCAAATCCCAGCCTGTCCTGAGCGCAGCTCAGCGCTCCCAGGGGAGCGAGGCCCCTGAGTTCATGGCTTGCTCTCCCCTCCTCTGAGGGAAGGGCCTCCCATATTGAGTCACAGGAAAAAAAACACTCATCCACGAAAACAAAGTGCTGCAGAAGGCAACACGGCAGCTGTGGTACCCGTCCCCCCATCCCTACTCCCTCCCTCCACAGCACACAGTCCTTAAGACCCTGAAACACCCTCTGCAAACGAGCTCACGAAGGCAAGGCCAATGCAGCGACCAGGCTGCCTGAGCAGCAAGGCTGTTTGCTCTGGAGTGCAACAGGCTGGGGCAGGGTGGGACAGCACTGGCATGGGACCCCAGCCTCCCTGTGGTGTCACATGCCAGCCTGGGGATGAGGCAGGGACTGCCAGCCACAACGAACTTTAGGAGAGAGAGAGAAGCTGTTGAGGGGGAAAGCAGAAACTAGGTTGTTCATGCCATATGTTTGGGAGACGCTCATTTTCTACACTGGCAACAGGGGAGGATTCATCAGAAAAACGTCCCCCTCCAACTCCCTCGAATGTACGTGGTAACTGTGCTACAGCTCACACGCAAGGGCAAGTCAGTAAGCCCCCATCAGACAATATTTTTCCCAGACTACAAGAAAGGGCCACTGCAAAGCCCCAAACAGCCCAATCACACTTCAACCCAGGGCCAGAGGAACGAGACTTTATTCTGAAAACGGAGTCAGTCTCAAATCAAAATCATTCCAATAGAGGGAAGAGACAAACAGCAGGAGCAGCGCAAACTAGTCCTGGAACAACTACACCAGAATCACTGCATTCCCAAACCCTTTGGCAATGGATTCCCTTCAAACATCTGGTTCATTTTCCCACCTACTAGTTGCCCCAAATGTAAAAAAACAACAACATCAACAACAACAACAAAAATCAAAAATAAAGCTGTAGCTTGTCTGGCACCTACCTCAAAAGTTATAGTAAGGATCCTGAGTGCTGCTGGTCTCTGCGTGGTGCCAGTGATATGAAAAAAGGCTCTTCCTGCCATAGGGAGCTCAGTACTATTTCTCCTTCTTCTTCATGTGCAAGAAGACAATGCTGAACATGAAGAGGTCTACCATCACAGAGAAGGCACCGGCATAGTACGGATATGCCGAGAGGATAAAACGTTCAGACGGCGTGTGCTGGAGGGGACACACAGACACCTAGAAAAGGAGAGAACATCTCTTGAGTTTGGCACTACCCCAGAACAGATGAAGATAATCTCTCGCACGCAGCTAACTCCCTCTGCTCTCTAGTGTCTGTTGCTTCCCCTTGCATGATAAATTCCCACTGTACTTACCTGCATAGAAGAGTACAGGTGCATATAACCCAGTCTGTTATAATCTACTTTACATTGAAACACTCCATAGACATCTGGCAGCTTGAACTGCATGCTCTATTTGCTCCCTAAGACAGACAAAGCAGCCACGTTTAACTGACACAGAAAAACAGGAGGAGAGAAGCTGTGGAAATCTCCTCTTTGCAACAGCTCTTCCCTCCTACAAATACTGCCATGCCAAGAGGCAAGAACATGTAAATCCGAGGCTGGAGAGGCGAGAGAAACTTACCACTTCTCTTCAAGAAAGTCTGGACAAATGGATCAATGCGGACAAATTCCAGCTGAATATCGCCTCCATCAAAAGGGACCCACTTCCCACCAGAGAGCTTTCCAATAACGATGCTGCACTCCTGCAACAAACCCACAATGCATTAATATTGCATAAGACTAATACCCGAAAAACGGACATTAAAGACAAACAAGGCCGGAGCATGATGCTATAGAAGTCAGAAATTTCAAGGTGGCGAGGGAATTCTCCCAAATTTCTTTTTCCAAAGCAGATTAGGTATGTTTGCCCTCTTAGAAACACAACTGAGCTATCAACGATCAAATCGGCTCTCAGTGGCCAAAAAGCAAGCAGACATAGACTTTAGAGACATGAAACAGCTCCAACTATACTTTTCAGCTCCCTAGGCAGCTGAAGCTGGAAATTATCCTCTCCAGTAAATCAAGTTTTATAGTTACAATCTTCAAAGGCAATAAGATGTTTGTTCCAGCTTGCCACATGATACGCCCCGATTTTACTTTCTACAGCAAAGTCTGAAATCTCGGTACTGAAAGACAGACAAGTAATGACCAAGTAAAAGCTCCAGAGCATGCCCAGCCACCAGGCTCAAGTTTTTTGCACAAGGGTTACTGAGAAAAAAAGAAATCACTATTGAACATCAGCAACATTTAACAAAGAGGTCACAAGCTTCTCCAGACCAAGACACTTAATGTGTGACTGCAACCACTGCCAGCTCTCTCAGCACCGACTCATGAAGGCACCATCCAATGGAAATGATAGAGTTCATTCAAAGATCTAGCTCTCCAATTTTTAATGGGTGAAGCAAAGACAAACCTGCTTCCATGTTTCTTGCTGACCAAAGAACAGGAGCATGTTCCAACCCCATCATCTGTGGCCTTACCACAAGATCAGTGACAGTGCAGGCGTTTTCCCTGGCCTGGCTCCAATATATCGTAGTTATGCTGGTCTATGACAGCTGTCCTTTCCTCATCAAGCTCTGTCCCACACTCGCTACCCAGTTCGCACAGGGGGTACCCGGCAGGACAAAACAAATCCTCAGTTATGCAGCGTGCTCAGAAGGACGCAATGTCGATCTGAACAGTCAGCATCAAAAGCAAGTACAGCCTGCAGACATGCGCTCAGCACCCTATTAGCCAAACCGCTCGCTTTCACAACCTCCCTCAGCTAAATTCCCATCAACAATGTCGCTGAGGCAGTTTTGTTGTCTTATCCCAAGTCTGTCACTCATGCCCTCCAAGAAGTTTCAGTACAACCCTGAGATTCACAACAAGAAACTGAATGCACAGAGGACCATCCAGTTAAGGTTCCCTTTCACAATATTATAGTCAGTACTTTAATGGTTTTGATGACACAGAAAAAGTTCTCTTTTCCTCTCCAGGTGTGAATTCCTACAGCGCATCTGCAAAACACAAAGCTAAATGGCTCTGGGCTACAGACCAACGAGGTAGCATGTTTTTTTGTCATCAGCTTTCTTGCAGTAGCTCAAAGAAGGGGGAATAAGCTATCCACTCACTGCAGGAGATAAGCATGCAAAGGTACCTGTTACACAAAGTAGCTGACGCACACTGATTTGTTCATGACACTGCCTTATCTGGCATGACACTACTTCATCTGACAAGCATTTGTACTCGCCAATGTCTGAGCTGGCAGCTACGAGGACACTGCCACCACTGTCAATGAAAGCAGTCATGGTCTCCATATTGATGTTTCTGCCAAAATCTGAAAACGCAGACATTCACCCCTCTATCATCTGCTGCAGCCCACATCTCAGAAATAAGCCTAAGCTTCCACAACTAACACCACAGCCGCATATCAAATCGCTTTTATCATGGCTAGAAGAACCATTAGTACAGCTAAGGCCTGCCAGGAAGCTCAGTTAATCTTAACTGTACCCACAGCATCATTTCATCTTGGAGAGCTGCTACCAGCTATAAGAAAGGCAGAACAACAGCAACAATGCATAACTTTATCAATATTCATAAAACGCTCTGAAATCCCTTTTCAAAAACGCCACTAGGCTGCAACAGAGCTCATGCTTTTTCCAGAGCTTTTCCTTCACCTATTTACCTTGCACAGATGGCAAGAAGACGATCAAGTTATCATACAAAAACTCTCCGTATTTTATAAGGGACAGGCCAGCCTCATCAGCCACCCAGAAGGGGAGATCAAAGTCGCGCTCTGCATCAGCAAGACAACGTTGACCACTGTAAACATGTCACAGGCCAAAAGAGAAAAATCACCCCAGTGTCACAGCAGGCGCCACATCCCGAGTTCTCCATGGGTTGGAGGCAGAAGGATCTTCTGGGAGCGTCACGGAGGCGCCCACGGAGGAGACGACATGGGCATCAAGCACCCGAAAAGCCCCTTCGTTGCCATCTCTGTCCCCTTCACCTTCTGCTCACGCCATCGGGCCCGGCCTGGGCACCCCGACCGCCTCCCCGGGCCCAGCCCGGCCCCCTCGAGCCCT